CGGCTCGTTCTGGTTTATTATTCATGTCTTATTATTTCATTTGGAACGACCTGTTCTGAAATCAGAACGGCCCGTTCCGAACGTGAGTAGCAGTTCCTCCAGTTCTTCGTAATACGAGTTTTTTTTTTGAGTAATTTAAAAAGAAAAATTTCAGTAGAAAATTTGAAAATTTTTATCCTGATAGTATTATAAGTTATTAGTTTAGATGAATCTTATGGTCAAAACTAATGGTTTACCATGTAGTACTTGTTAAAGTAGTGTATGAGAGATGTCACCTTTAAATAAACTGGAAACTATTATTTAAAATAATATAATTAATAAAAATTAAATAACAAATATTAAAATATTTTTAAAAAATATAACTTCTGATAAAATTAACACATGTCATCCTTTATACAGTATTAGTCACTTAGGATATGGGTACCCTATGAAATAAACTTGTAGCAAAGGAAATGCCAGACATAAAAGCTTCCCTCCTCTTCTTACCTTTCCAGAATTCCTATGCACTTTGGATCACTTCCTCCCTTTTCCTAAACCGTAAACACGATGCACCATCCAACTCAAGTTCCACCAAACATCGCCACCCATGTTGTGGCGGTGCCATACCCAGGGCGAGGCCACGTCAACCCCTTGATGAACCTCTGCAAGTTGTTTCTGTCCAACAACCCCGACATCCTCGTAACCTTCGTAGTCACCGAAGAATGGCTGGGCTTCATCGCTTCCGAACCCAAACCCAGCAACATCCGATTCGCCACAATCCCTAACGTTATTCCCTCCGAACACGGTCGAGCCAACGACTTCGTCGCCTTCCTCGAAGCCGTGATGACCAAAATGGAAGCTCCCTTTCAAGACTTACTCCACCGCCTTCAGCCGCCGCCAACAGTAATCATATACGACACTTACCTCTTCTGGGTCGTTCGCGTTGCAAATCGGGCAAACATTCCCGTCGCGTCGTTTTGGCCAATGTCTGCGTCGTTTTTTGCCGTGCTCAAACACTACCATCTTCTCCAGCAAAATGGTCACTACCCTGTAAAAGTATCAGGTCATTTACTTTCAATTCGCCACAAAACCGTATAACTCCCAATATTTTTAAATAGTTAGATCTGTTTGAGACAAAAAATTATATTTTGGTCTCTCACTGTGAATCACATTTTTTTTTATTTTTTATTTTTTAAAAAGAGTTAGTATTAGTTAAGTATCATACTACGTAAATGTTGGTCTTAATTTACAAAATAAAAATAAAAATAGTAAGGTGTGTAGAAATTGGTAGACCAGTGAGACCGCATAATTTGGAACTATATAATAATTTCTGAATTAATAGGTTGAACTAGCAATTTCTCGTTGAAAATTAATCTCAATATATAATGATGAACATTTGTATTAGAATATTGACTGTGAATTGTGATATTTGAAGCATTGTGTGGTTGTTTAAATGTGTGCAACAGAAGGTGAGAAACGTGTGGATTATATTCCGGGGAACTCGTCAATTCGTTTGGCAGATTTTCCACTTAACGATGAAAGTTTGGGCAGCCGAAAATTGTTGGAAATGTCTTTGAATGTTGTACCATGGGTGCAGAAAGCACAATATCTGTTATTTCCTTCCATATATGAGCTTGAGCCTCGAGCTATCGATGCTTTGAAAGCAGAGTTCTCTATTCCCATTTACACTATGGGCCCTGTCATACCTTGCTTTATTAATGGCCATATTGATGTTTCTAAACATGACTACTTTCAGTGGCTTGACAACCAACCTTCTGGGTCGGTACTATACATCTCACAGGGAAGCTTTCTTTCAGTTTCTAGTGCACAAATTGATGAAATTGCAGCTGGTTTGCGCGAAAGTGCTGTTCGGTTCTTGTGGATAGCGCGAGACAAGTCTTCTAGGTTGAAGGAGATATGTGGGGATAGGGGAATAGTTCTGCCATGGTGTGATCAAATGAGGGTGTTGCAGCATCCTGCTATTGGTGGTTTTTGGTCACATTGCGGGTGGAATTCCATTAGAGAAGGTGTTTTCAATGGTGTTCCTTTTCTAACCTCTCCAATAGTGATGGACCAACCTCTTAATAGTAAATACATAGTAGAGGATTTAAAGGTTGGGTGGAGGGTGCAGACAGAGAATGCGCAAGGCACTCTGATTAAAAGAGATGAAATCGGTATCCTTCTTAAAAAATTTATGGATCTGGATATTGATGAAGCAAGAGATATGAGGAAGAGAGCCAGAGAGCTTCAGCAGCTATGTCAGAATGCAATTGCATGTGGTGGATCATCAGAAACTAATGTGAAGGCTTTTCTTAGGCATATATTACAAGGTTCCAAGCCGTAGAGTAAATCCACGTGTTTAAGTAGAGATCATTTGTTGTTACATTTGAGGAACCAGTTCACTATTTTTTGTTTCAATTATCTTATTGTTGATGTAATTTCTCTAACTGAATCTGCTTCGTAAGTAAATGGAAATCATGAGACTATGAATGTGGAAGGGGGTCTTAGATACCTTAAATCTGAGGAATGTAATGAGCGTAATGATTCCATGAATATATCAATGATTCTGAAAAAGTTTGGAATGAAACTTTTAATTGGTAAAGCTATTACTATAAATTTCTATCCAACTTTTCATTAACTTAACATATGCTTTTTTTTCAATCATTATATGCTTTTGTTGTCACCGAGCATAAATTCCTTTTTCAAACTGCTTTGGTAGAAAAAAAATGTATCCGAACTCCCAAATAGCATACTAGAAAATAATTGCAAAATTTAATTCTTAGTACTTGTCATGAACTAACTATCCTAAAAATTTAAATTGTTGGGTGAAAGCACACGGGTGGCTTTATATCAATCGGCCTTCATCCAAGTGTCCTTTCATCTTGAACCATGGGCAATGCATCGGTCTGTCTTACCTTGTGTTCAAATTTAACTCATTTTAAAATAGGGGCAACGAGGATCAAATTGCAGATCACATATCACAAGGCTTGGCATTTTAATACCATGAGGTGCGTTTGGAACAGTTTATGTACTGCTTATTTGGATTTATCTTATAACATAAACAGTTGTTCAAGTGTTTCAGAGAGTTTATGAAAATAGCTTGTGATATGTTGATATGTCCATAAGTTGTTTTTAATTTATTTCAATAAGCTCTTCAAGGTAGCTTATGAAAACATCTTACAACTAGTATGAAAATAGTTTAATCGGATTTCCTCTTAGATTTTTTAAACAATTTATATGAGTAATATGAAAAGTATTTATTCAATAAGAGCTTAATTAAACTGTTTACCCAAACGCACCCTATGTCATAAACCAACTATTCTGAAGAGCTTAAACTGTTGGGTGAAAGCACACTAGCAGTTTTATATCTAACAGTCTTCACACTAGAGTCTTTTCAGGTTGAAACATGGGCAATGCATTAGAGTCTAGTTGGATACATAGAAGCGCATTTGAAAGTTTCTTTACTAAAAAATACTCTTTATTTTTAGTAGAGAAACTTTAAAAAAACGTTTTTAGTTTGTATCTAAATTGACTCTTAATCTATCTTAGGTTGAAATTTAACTTTTATTTAAAAATAGGGCCAACAACAAGGATCAAACTGTAGACTCATATCATGAGCTATGTGACTCTGCATTTTGATACCATGTCATGAACCAACTATTTTGAAGGCTTAAACTGTTGGGTAAAAGTGCACGAGTGGTTTTATATCTAACAGTACGCATCCCTTACAGATCACAGTTATGGTTTGCTAGACAGTAGACACAATAGAGTGTACTTATTGAGTTTTATGAATATATAAACTATACTAAAAAAGATAGCGGTGTTTGGAATTGTTATAGCTGAAAGGACGCAATAGAAATGCTACAATCTATTCTTTGAAAACTAGCTTCTCAAGAATCTCAACTCCTTTTAGTAACAGATTTTTATTATTGTTTCTAAAAATGTTTAAAAACATATTTAACTTGGAAGGTGATTTTTGTGCTGTTTATTTCAAGTGTTTATTAATGTATGTCCTATTACTTGGTAACATCCTTTAATTTATTTTGAGATCCATATTTGATTGATGGAGTTGTCTCAAGCTGATTCGGTTGACATGTTGAAACTAAATATGATCTTTTGGTATGTTCTTCCATTCCTGGGAAGAGACAGTAAGCAGTTGGTGCTACGGTAATGTTGTCGGGCATACCCTTTAGACTATAGGAATAAATTAGTAGGAACGACCTCAAGTTGTCTCAAATCTCAAACTTTAGATGGGGTGATAATTTGCAAATTGCTATACTGGAGTTTTAACTTAAATTGTTCTGGATGGAATAGTTCTGTTCATTGAAATTATAGATAATAAATCATGAGTTATACCGGCAAAAGGGACAGATTGATAGAAACTGGATCACAAATGGAAGAAGCACACATTTAGTCAAATCATTATTTTTCTTCCTTTTTTATTTATTTGTTTTCATGTTATAGTTTCAAAGGATCAAAAGCACTCCAATAGAGACTTTACTTAGGATATTCGAATATACTATTCAAACTTCCAACTTATCAGTAGTATTTTTCTCTTTCTCTACGAGAGGACTAAATTGTAATAATGATTTTATTTTACACCTAACCTTCTATCCTAAATTTTACTCATACATTCGGTGGCTAAGAATGGAATGGTCCATCATGGGCCACTTATAACATGGTACATGTTAACTCTCTATTTTCTAACGTGGAAAAAATGTGAAATTTTACTCAAGTCAAAATTTTACTGGATAAATATCTATTATATATCAATAAAATTTATAATAAATTATGTATATAAATAAAAAAATATATATTTTTAACAAATCTATATTTTATATTTATAACAATAGATAAAGAGAGTACTGTATTTTGATTTTCATTTTTTAAGACACATTTATCTTTTAATAAATTTATTTATATTTGTTTCAAATATCTTTATTTTATTCTTATTTGTCATTTGTATCCTCTCTCTTTTAATAATTATAACTCTTCTTTAAATAAAATCATAAATAAAAAATTTAAACTGAAGTCATTCTCTTTCTATCATTATTTTTTGTTGAAATGCATTTAACAAACTTCTTATCTTCTAACTTTAGATATTTGGAGACTTGAAAACTTTTATAAGAATATTTCTTTTAAAATGTTTTAAACCTCTCTTATTTTAAACCTTTTCTTTCTCTTATTTTCTATATTCATATTTCTTAAAATAAAGTACACAGATATGAAATGCCTCACGATTCCACTAATTTATTATAAATAAAATATATGATTTATATTAATCTCCATTTTAGTTTTAGACAGTTTTATTATTAAACTATAATTATTTTTTAAATAAATTATTATGGCTCTTTAATTGTGTCCCTATTTATACTAGGAAAAAAGAGACACTTTGTCTCTATTTAAAAATAAAAATAAAATGATAATGAGTAATTATTTAAAAAAAATTGAAAATCGAATATTGTTAAAGTAAAAAGAGAGAGAGAGAATAAATAAACAAATAAGTGAGTAAAAGATAATAAAATAGAAAGTGATTTATCTATAACTATTAACTATTATAAAAGAGATATAGGAGATGTAACCGCTTTTTGGTATCCATTTTTTAATGGACTATTATACTCCAAAATGTAAAAAAAAATCTTAAATTTTCTTTAAATAATTATACACAACTTTCTAATATTTTATTAGTGAATAACTATTAGAGATATGAAGTGTCTCTACCCCTCTAATAGGTAATTATAGGAATAAATTAGTCTATAATTTGTGTACACTAAAATAAGGTATCATCTTATTAATAAATAGTTAAAAACAGTTACTTTCAAATTTAGTTCCTTGAAAGCGAAAGAGTATATTTTAAATGATAAAGTATATTAACAATTATTGATTAAAAAAATTAATGGTTGAGAACTATGATAAAATCAAATATATTTATAATAAAATTTAAAATTAATTATAATATTGACCATTAAATTCTTAATTAATAATTATTATTGTACTTTATTTTCTAATGTGGAATCTCCTCATTTTAGAGAAGTTAAATTTATAATTTTTTAATGTCAAAATTGTACATATCTTTATATTTTATTTTTAAGTAAATATCCAAAAATCCACCCAACCTTCCAATCCTCCACAATCATCTTACTATCAAGTGGTTGGTCCATGATTATTGGGAAAGTCAAAAACGGAACCCCAGCAAGCACACCTTCTTTTGTGGAATTCCACCCGCAATGGGACCAAAATCCTCCAATAGAAGAATGTGACAACACTCTCACTTGGTCACACCATGTCACAACCAACCCCATGTCCCCACAAATTTGTTTCAACCTTGAAGCCTCACCACGTGCTACCCACAAGAACCTAATGCCACTTTCCCTCAAAGCAAATGCCATCTCATCAATTTGAGCCCTTGAAACCGAGAAATGGCTACCTTGTGAGATGTAAAGAACAGAAGCAAGGGGTTGTGCATCAAGCCACTCCATGTAGCTATAACTCAAAGTGGGGTTGTTTTCATTTTGAAGGCTGAAATAAGGTGTGACAGGGCCAATAGTGTATATGGGCAAAGAGAACTCTGCCTTTAGGACATCGATGGCTCGAGGCTCCAGCTCGTAAATGGAAGTGAATAAGATACAGTGTGCTTTGGAAACCCACGCGAAACCTTTGAGGCACAATTGCATAGTTCGCTTGCTGCGGAAACTGCCATCATTTAGAGGAAAATCTACGAGGCGCGTTGGGGATATTCCAGGAATGTAATCCACACGTTTGCCACCGTTTTCTGGCTCGCACCAGTTAAGCAAACACATTCAATTAACTTCAATGTCTCCAAATATCAGAATTAGAATCTCATGCAACTTCACATAATTATTAATAATTTTAAATATTTTAAACTTAAATAACTTCAGTCTTTATAATATAAGATTATCTTTTCTGGTCGTATTTTTTTCTTCTTGTTTTCATCTTTAGAAAATTATTTTGCTTCATTTTATTCTAGTGTTATTATTTCAGTTCCTATAAATTTATAAGCTTTTTACACATGTTTTTAGGGTTAATGGTATTTTTACCCCCAAAAAATTTTAAAATTTTAGTTTTGGCCTCCGACTTTTAAAATCAACAGTTTTCATCTTATATTTTTAAAATTGCAAGACTTTAATATACCTGATGCTAATATTTTTCCCTTATACATGGAGCAAAAATTAAGCATTTAAAAAAATATAAATTAAAACTATTATTTTAAAAGTCAGAGACGAAAACAAAAACAAAAACTTAATTATTTTCAAAAACTAAAAACACTATTATTAATTCTTTTCATATTAGAATATTTTCATTTTTGTTCATCTTATTTAGAAGAGAAAATAAAACATACATTAATACTATAAACGACATCAATTTATAAAAAATTAACATATATCGTAGTTTTACATCTTTGTTATAACTACCTTAAAAATTATTTATGAGCTATTTTTTTTTGTTATACAAGAATAAAGGTTTAAGCGACAAATACCAAATTGTATAGACCTTCTTTGCAAGATTGTTTGTATGCCATGTGGTGTAACAAACCGTCAACTAGTAGACTATAACAAAATATATAATAAATTAACATATATCGTAGTTTGTGTTCATATTCTTAGAAAAATTAATTAAGTAATTAATAGTCTTGCTAAATTTAGTCTTTTATTATTTAATGAAATTGTTTGTTTCAATTCTCCACCTAATTAGATTTATTTTTTCCTATTTATAGATAAATTTACTGTAATTTTTTCTCGTAATTTTTAGTAATTTTATTGAACTTTAAACCCCCTATTACATTATAAAAAAAACTTAATTTAGTATCATCAAGCCTAACTGTGTTATGACTTAATAAGAATAATAATGACTAAAACATCATATAAAATAATGAGACTAAAATAACATTTTTTAAGAAAAAAAAACAAAAGCATTAGAGGGCATTTTCTGGTGCAAGTTTTGTTTAGGGAATACCAAAATCTTCTGTGACTAGGACCACATAAACGATGACATGTGTTAACTTTGTCAGAACTTTTATTTTTTAAGAATGTTTTAATATTTATTATTTAACTCTCGTTAATTTATAACTTTTTAATAATAGCCCTCAACTTATTTAAATATATTTTATCTTTTTCATCTCCCTACCCTTTCATTTTCATTTTTTCTCTTCTCTCTAGAGGCGTATGCAAAAAAGGATAAGCGTTGAGCATGAGGTAGGAACCGGTTTGCGGAGAAACTCCAGCATGGACTTGATAACCGGTTCAACGAGTTCGATTTTGAAGGAGCCGGAGGAGGCGGGGAAGGAGTTTTGAAGCGCAGAGAGTGCGAGCGGTGAGGAGATTTTAATGGCGGTGTCGAGGTTTTGCTTTGCGAGAGAGGCGTGGACGTTCTTCATGGCTGGGACGAGGAACTTGGTGGTGTTGTTGGGGTCCACGAACACTGTTGCCCACAGCGATGGTTTCAATCTGCGTGGCGGGGTAGTACTTGGAGATGTTCGCTTGGACCCACGCGTCTGTGAATGACTGCTTCGCAGTTACGTTTGAGGAATTTTTTACTAAAATAAAATTTTTAAAAAAAAAATTTACCAAAAAAGCATCTGTACCACTTTATTTACCCAAATAGAACCTTTTACTGTTCATGTTCAAAATTCGGTTCCTGGAAAATGATGTAAAACTGGAACCGGAACGGCCCGTTCTGAATGGAGAACGCAGAACGGGCCGTGCTGCAAGGAGCCGTTCTGCAAGGAGAACGACCCGTTCTCCATTCAGAACGGGCCGTTCCAGATACCACTAGCATTTATTTCCCCTTAGCAACCTAAAAGGCAAGGCAACCTATCATATTTATTTAATAAAATAAAATAAAACGAAAATGACATTAAAAATAAGATAATTAAAAGTATAAGTTATATTTTATATTATAGCATCATATAATTCAACGGTTAGATCTATTAAATTTGTATATATTGAAGGTATAAACTTTAGTGTAAGTTTTTAAATTTATATATAGTGTCAACGGATCTCAACTTTTATAAAATAAAATAATATATTTTATGACTTAAGACTATTTTTAATTATTGATAATTTATTTTTAAAATATTAAATTTAAATTAAAATATATGATGCATACAAATTAAAGTAGATAGGAAGTTAAAAATCTTGCATATGAGTTCTCTCATAGAAAAAATGTTTAGGGATGTGTGTGTATTATTTGGATAAAAAATTTATAAACATTAAAATTAAAAATTTGTGAAATTCCTTAAAATTATAGAATTTAAAATTCTCTCAAAATGGTAAAAATTTAAAATTCTTCTTTATCTTACCTCTCTTTCTTCTCTTTCAATGTTGACATAAAAAATATCAATAATTTTTTAATTATTGAATATTTAAAATTACTTTTTTAAATTATTATTACATATTATCTATGTTAATTTCTTAAAATTATTTAATATTTAAAATTAGCTAATGTTAAGTTTTATAAAATTTAATCTTAAAAATTCAATATATATATGTGTGTATATATATATATATGTGTGTGTGTTTTAAATCAATTTTATATGTGGTGAAAATTAAATTGTCTTATTTTAATTATTTTGTAATAATATCTCTTATGAGTAAAATTTAATTTTAATGGTTGAGATTCATGTCGTTGGAAAAACATTGTAGATGATCTTAACCCCAGTAGAAGATGACACATAACTATATACTAATATTTCATAGGTTTAAAAATAATTTTTGAACTTATAGTTTATCATTTTTTCACTTTTAATTTCTATAATTTTTTATCTTTTTTTTTAACCTTTTAAAACATTTAAAAAAGAGTCATCGTCATTGTCATTGATTTTTATTAAAAAATCTATTTGGCCAACAAAATATACATTATATTCATGATATTTCATTTCACTATATTGCCATGTAGATAAATCAATTTTAATTTTTTTAGATAGAATTTCAAAACTCACTCTATTATTGTCACTTCATGCGTACTATCTTTAGTTTATGGAATGTCACATCCTAACTGTCACCGATGACGAAGTTGAATCACCAACCTTCCTTTTTCAATGAGGTGTCTAACTCATTACTATTGGAGTGGTTACAATCAACATAGTTTTTTTTAATTTTGAAAAAAGTGACTCTAATGGTGGTGGCGAGTGGACACTCTTATGGAACTCCTACTCGGTGAGGGAGTAACTAAGCATAAGGTAAAACTCTTCTATGATGAGGTGGCAACTCGCACAAGCAATGATCATTAAGAATGAGTTCAACGCTGTTGTCAATATCATGATTTGTGAAAAATTACTTCTCATCAAGGGATTATAAATTGTATTCGAAAGTTTAGTTTTGGATCAAAAAGGGAAAACACGACCACAAGGATAAAGGTGAGAGTTTAAATACGATGAAGTGAAATATGATAAATATAACATATATTCTATTTGTCAAGTATAATTTTTTTCAAATAATAATTTATTATAAGGACTAATTTTGAAACGTTATAAAATATTAGAATAAAATAATAACAAAAAATTTATAAAATAAATAAATAAATTATAGAGACAAAAATTATATTTAAATCTATTTAATATGATAAATATTGAATATTTCCCCTTAATTATTATTAATGAGATGAGAGAAAAACACAGTTTTGATTTTCAATAAAATCTTATAATATTCATGTTTAACATGAGATGAGATGATTTTTCTTTAATTTTTCATGATTTCTTTTAAGAACCGATTTAATGCGATACATAAACATCCTGAATATTTTTTTATGTATTTCATAAAAAGAAAAATATAAGAATGTGTAAAAATATAATATTATTAAAAAATAAAGAATACGAGAGCTAATGTAGGAATTTTCATATATAAGTCACAAGTTTAAATCACTGGTATTTCTTGAAATAAAATAACTACGTGAATTAATTGTTGTTTAAATTTAATTAATAATATCAAATTTAGTTTTTAAATATACAATTATGTTAGTTATGAAAGAAGATTTTTTCTCATAGTACTATTATCTTATTCAAACTAGATTATCTTCTAATGAACTTACATATCGAGATAAAAGATGTTCATGACTTGTTATGTTCTATCAATCCAAGAGTCTCTTTTAATCGTAAGATATATTAATTATATTTTTTAAAATATTTTTATTTAATTAACAAACTTTTTTTCTTTACAAAAGATAATAAATATTTAAGATAGAAACTATCTCTTATTAATTACATATTTAAATAAAAATATATGTAAAAAATAAAAATAAAGACATAAGTAAAGTCGTGAACACTGAACACATAAACAATCGTGGAATTTTTCTCATAAATAATATTTTTTTAATAAAAACTTACAGAAATGGAACTCACATATCTTTATTTACTCATATAGCACCATTTACTATTCATAGTTAGAATTTGGTTCCCCGACTAACTTTCATTTGTGCTTGGCTGCCGGAATTTGATTTCTAGCGAACCGAATTCTGGGCAGTTTTTTTTTTTTAACATTATACATTATTATAAAATTTAAAATACATATATATTAAAATTTTAATATTAACATTAATAATATTTTAATTTATTAATTATCAAGGTTATTGATATTTTATACACATATATATTTATAATTCATTTTTACACTTTTTGTAATATTTTTTTTAATATATATATATATAATATTAAATTTTTACTCGCATTTATATGATTATTTATATTAATATTATAATTTCTAAGATTTTTAAGTTATTTAATTTAAAAAATAACTTATTTTTTTAAAATATAAAATATTTTATTTATTTATTTTTTTAATAATTATTAATTTTTTTTAAAAAATAATTTAAAATAAACTATAAATAAAAAAAAAGCTGCCGGAATTCAGTTAACTGCAAACCGAATTATTAAATTGTTGGAGCAGAAAATGAAGGTTAGAATTCGTTTTAGGAACCAAATTCTAACCATGAATAGTAAAATGGTGTTATATGGGTAAATAAAGATCTGTGGGTTCATTTATGTAAACTTTTATTAAAAATATATTATTTAAGAAAAAAATTCAACAAACGTGCGGTGGTGTGAATTAGAATATGTTGTAAATAAAAGATTTTGACTGCTACTCGAAAATAAATAAATAAAAATAAAAGCTGCCTTTCCCAAATTGTTGGAAGGTGGAACCCTAAGATGTAAATTAAGTTATGAAGCGCGTAGAGATGCAAAGTCTGGGACGAAACCATTGGCCTCCGTCTTAGACTTACCAAAACCCCTTATCACAAATCAAAAATCACCACACTGAGTCACACCTTGAAAGAAAGTAACAACAGTTTCCGTTTCCGTTTCCGTTTGCGATTCCACACCTTCCACGGAGCAATAACTGAGAATCCCCTAGTGGCTACTTCTTCTTCTTCGCCCTGCTTTCGTTTTTAATTCATTCAATTTCCTTTTTCTTATTCAATAATGGCCACCGACGCTAGGGCCAAGTTCCAGAACCCAGAATTCCGCCCCGATTTCCACGCCGACTTAACGGTCTCAGCTCACGACGGTCTCCACTTCTGGCAGTTTATGATCGCCGGATCCGTCGCCGGCTGCGTCGAGCACATGGCCATGTTCCCCGTTGACACCGTCAAGACCCACATGCAGGCCCTGGGCTCCTGCCCCGTCAAATCCGTCACCGTCCGTCGGGCCCTAAGCTCTATTCTCCAATCCGAGGGCCCGTCCGCTCTCTACCGCGGCATCGGTGCCATGGGCCTCGGCGCCGGCCCGGCCCACGCCGTCTACTTCTCCGTCTACGAGACCTGCAAGCGCCGCTTCTCCGATGGAAACCCTAACAACGCCGCCGCGCACGCCGCCTCCGGCGTCTGCGCCACCGTCGCCAGCGACGCTGTGTTCACGCCCATGGACATGGTCAAGCAGAGGCTGCAATTGGGGAACAGCGGCTACAAGGGGGTGCTGGACTGTGTCCGGAGGGTCACCGCCGAGGAAGGGCTCAGGGCGTTCTACGCCTCTTACAGGACCACCGTGCTCATGAACGCGCCGTTCACCGCCGTGCATTTCGCCACCTATGAGGCCGCCAAGCGCGGCCTCAACGAGGTCTCGCCGGGGAGCGGCGACGACGAGCGGTTGGTGGTGCACGCCACCGCCGGGGCTGCTGCTGGTGCTTTGGCTGCCGCGGTTACCACGCCGCTTGATGTTGTGAAAACTCAATTGCAGTGTCAGGTATAATTGCTGTTGTTGTTTTTCAGATTTGATGTTTTCTTCCTCATTGTAGTTTTAGAAGTAGGATGGATAGGATGTGTATTGTGCATGGTTTTAAATTGCGGACCGCAACACCTGTTGCGGCCGCAATATTGCTGTTGCGGCCTTGTCCGCAACGGCATCGGACCGCAATTGCGATGATACTGGAAATCACACATTTTTCCGCAACGTAACGGTGTTGCGTCCGCAACACATCTGCAATGCACCGCAATACATCCCCAATACGATAAATTGATACTATAATTTTAAAATAAATTAAATTATTCATTAAAATAATAGAATATTTTTAAAAAAAGGAATTAAAATATATAAATCCTTAAAAATAAAATATATATTGATAATTATAAATTTTTTATATTTAGTGAAAATAATTAATAATTTCACATCGCAATAGCCGCAATCTGCATCGCAATACCCGCAATACCTGCAACCGCAGTAACTGCAACCGCAACCGCAACCGCGACCGCAACCGCAATTTAAAACCATTTGTGTATTGGTTACTAGAATTTTGAATTGCTAATACTTGCATTTATGGTTTAGTTAGTATATATATGCATAATGTGGCTTTGGTTGTGAGAAAAGAAGTGGGTAGGAATGGTTGATCAAACTTGAGAGTGTGATAAACTGATAATTACATTTGAATGAGACTTTTAGGTTTTGTATTACACTATTACCTTTACTTTAATTCCATCTCTGCAAATATGGGATAATTGTTTTAGCTTAGGTTTTGGTAATGTTAGATCCATGGGCAATTACGTTTTGGTAATGCTAGTTCCGTGGACTAGTTTCTTTGTGCTTTTGTGGGGGTTTTCATATGATGTTATTCTTCTTGCATTACAGAGGCTAGGTGAAAGAGTGAATCCAATGGAAACTAGTCTGGTTAAAATGGGTGGAGGATGACTTTAGAAAATTTTGGGGGAACATTTTGTAGTTTAACTGTGATTTTGGAGTTGGTTTTTGAGAAAGGCCAATGAGTTGATTGATTTTTGTTGCCAACCCCACTTATTGGGAGAGGGATTGGGTATGAGCAATGGGACACACTGGGGATCAAAATGCTGCCTCGGGTGCTCCAAAATGAGTTGTGTTTTTCTCTTGTGTCTGTTTCCTTAGGACTGCAGAGAGTTTGGGCTGTCTTGCTGCATTCTTAGTTCTTTTCCTAAATCACCTCTGTTGTGTAGGATTTGTTATCATTCACTCTCACTGATGAATTGTCATCCTCTGTCTAAATAGTAAGGAAATGAAAGTGGGTGCTGGAAGGCTTCTAGTGTTGGTGTATTTTATTTAAGGACATATTTATTATCATTATCATAATTATAAAAATTTATGTTGCATATTAGACACTTGTGGCATTTGGTATAATGCCCATCAACCAACATTAAAGATATGATTCTACTTATGTTTGCGGAATTTTAATGCAGAGAGATGATAAAACCTAGACTGTGAATTATACCCGAGTGACATAATAAGAGAAGAGTTATATTCAAGTGATCCATTGGCATATGTGAGGGGCGAGAACTGAGTTAAAAAATAGAGAAAGGAATTTCAACAGAGATTTAGTTATGAAAGTGATGACCAACAGTCAAGGAAACCGGTAGGAAATATGGTAAGAGGATGAGAAACAGTTACAGATCTCGAGGTGACGGATGTTGTGGGGGCTATACTCAAAAATCTGTTGAGGGCAATACTTATATTATGAATTTGTTTATACTGCATTTCAAACTATGCGAGCAATTTATAATTACACATGTACGTTAAGAAAATTTTTAGAGTTTGTGGGGGCAATTGTCCCCAATGTCCGCCAAGTGGACCCATCCCTAATGAGAAAGATGCAAGGGTCTCTATTCCATCATATCATTTTTTAAATTTATTGAAATTTAGTGCTGTTAATTTGGCACTAAGGAAAATAAACCTTGGACCTCTATGCAAAACCATTGACCCAATCACTTGATCCCATCAACTTTAGAGCTTTAATCAGACTAAATGGCATTGAATTGGAATGATGCTGATGATGGTACTAATGAATGAGTTCATTGTGTGATTCTATTGAATAATATATATGCTGAGGAGTTGGCAAGATCTTCTTGTGTAGATCAGCATCCTTATAATTTATATCATCTTTTTTCATTTCTTATATAGGGATTATTATAGGTTTATTAGATCATGCATCAGAGGAACCTAATATTTTCCAATCAAAACAACAACGTTCCAAATTGGATTGAGGTTTCAGCACTCATGTCATAATTTTATTATTAAATTGTGTAATATGGTGGTTGATCTTGATCAAGTTGATACTTTATCTGGAAATTGATTAACAACTTTTATTATATGAATTTGGTAGCGTATATGAATGATGATAGGGGGAATCAAACGGCAATTTTATTAAGCCCTTATTATCTTTCCTTTCGTTCATCCTGACATGAATCATGATGGTTGGTGGTGCAGGGTGTTTGCGGTTGTGATAGGTTCCAAAGTGGTTCAATTGGGGATGTTATTAAAACAATAGTGAAAAAAGATGGATACAGAGGGCTTATGCGAGGGTGGATTCCAAGGATGCTCTTTCATGCTCCTGCAGCTGCTATTTGCTGGTCTACATATGAGGCCGGAAAGTCCTTTTTCCAAGATTTCAATCAGCAGAGAGACATTGGCACTGTCACCTAAATAACAGTTAGAATATTCATCATTCTTCGGTTCCTTTATAGATGATTCTGTTGTCAAAAAATGATAAATGCTACAAACGGGGGCTGAGCTAGCGAACCTTTTCAAGTTTTGGGTTCTAACCCCAAATAATATACAGAACGCACCGGATTAACCTACGAATGGAGAACTTATTATCTTGTACACACAGTCAGTTTTAATTATGATTTTTTCCCCTGGATTAGCCTTTTGCTAGTTTCATTTAGACAGAACATATTATTCCATGAAAACACCACAAGAAATTTTTTCCTTAGTTTCATGCAGCTGTAAGTTTTAATTATGTGAAAGATTATTTGATATTCTGAAAATTAAGGGTTTTCATTTGATGTCATAAACTATTATCTCTTACCTTCTATCCTTTCTACTTTAGTTCCTCTATTGAGAAGTCAGGTTTGACCTTATTGTGCTCATTCCATATTTTTTTTATTAGATGACAATCGTCGTGGGTTATTTAAGATTTCCAAGAGCTGGGTGCTGATTCTATGGTGTTATTTTCAATATATAATGAGAATTATACAACCTTAAAAGATAATTGGAATGGGATGCTTGTATTAGACTTAACGGTGAGAAATAATTATTCTTTTTTGGATGGTGAAGACAAAGACCATCATTAGTTATTTCTATTTTTCATGGTATTACCATGACTTTAGAGGGTAAAACTTATTCTTGGTAGTTATCTAACTACACTAAAAAATTATTTTGATATAAAATTTGGAGGTTTCATACTACGGATTTTTAAAACTAATATTATAAATTTACGGGGAAATTAATGGAAAAATTACCTGGGTTACAAGCTACTGTTAAAATGGGGAAAGATAGTGAGGGTTGTTTATGACTACAAATTTTCTATCGAGTTCAAACAATTATCTCTCTTTTTTTAATATAAAATTAAGTTAAATTTCATAGAATGCTGGGCTTTAAATGAATAATTAGTATTTTAGTTTGTAATGTATACCTTAAAAGTATATTTTATTAAATCATAATTTATAATGAATAGATATTTTTGCACAAAAAATATTAATGACACAATTATTTTTAATTATTAATAATTTTTAAATATTAGAATTGAATTTTGAAATATATATAAAGGATAGATTGAAAGATATTAGATATTATGAAAAATTCTTAAAAATTCTTGTAGAAGAAAAACTCTTAAGGATATTATTATTCAAAATATTTTAATTTAAGTAGAGAAAAAAAAAAGAGTAATGTAAATAAATATATTATAATGAATGTACAACCACATACGAAAGGACGAGATAAGACATAATTATATACCCAGACACATATCTAAGAAAAAATGACAGAAAACCATTTAAAATAGTTCAACACAAAAAATATCAAACAAGTAGTGTAGTGTAGGTAAAAAATAATTGACTAAAATATAATTTATACATCAGTAGACTGATTCGCTAGTTACACACATCGGTCCAATTCAAGTTCATTAGAAAGCGATTATTTCACGGTATAATATTATTCTTGAAAATCTTATTCCAAAAAATATTATATTTAATGTTATTTCAATGAATATGTTTGGTTGACGCATTCTATAAAAAGCAAACTAGTAATGTTTATCGACAAACTAAACTATTAGATTGCTCAGTTTATTGGCCCATTTGGTGTACTATAAAAAGCCATTTCACATTCTATAACATGCAATCTATTGTAAATTTGTGATTAAGATTAATTTAATCACATATTTATCATTTTCAATGATTCAAAACAATTTAAAACAACTAACGAACATTGATTCTTTTGAGTGGTTTGGTTTAGTCAATGAAGATCCTTCAAAATACACAAAATATACTCATTAATTCACAAAATGCTGTAAAGAGGTGAGTCATGTCAAGAGTTTGAAATAGAACAAGTATCATTAGTTAGAGTGACAGAGGAAATTAGATGCAGTCACATGGGGTTGATCAGCCCAAACAATTGAGCAATTTAGACAGGGACGGATTCATAAGTACAATATTTGGATTATTTACTCTCCTTTTTTATTTTTCCTTCTTTCCCCTTGTTGTACACCCTATTCTCACCTTGCTTGCCTCAAGCATTCAAGCCATTAACAGAGACTACATCTAACTGAAAACATGAATGTCTGGCTTGGAATTTCTCATAGGATTTTTTTGGTTGTCAAAATTGGTACTGTTTCCTGTTTTCTCTAGTTCTGTGTGAAGCAAACAACTAATAGTGACTTGAATAGGTCAATAGCATAAATTTGCCAATGTTGGACCTCAATAGCTGGATGCTCCTGCTTCCTGAAAAAGCACAGTAGAAATTTATCAATAGAGATTTTGCTTTTATTTCTTACTAAGTGACTAATATGCTAAACACTCAATTTTTTAGAGATAAAATATCCACCATAATGCATTCCCATGGATAATTTGACATCTATTTCCAAGAACCACAACATGTTCAAAACGAGATGGGAATTATTAATAATAACAATTCAAAGTAGCATTGAAAGATAGTAAAAAGAAATTAACAAACATCTAGGGAAAATGAAAATGACCCTTCTACTTTGGTAGTCAGCCATTTGAGTTCATATTCATGCTTGACATGGGGTCAAAACTACATAAAACAGGCTTATATATACAATAAAATAAATTATTTTAACTTTTGAGGCTTTTTCACACAAGGATTTAAAGCATAGGATGAGGCGACTAGGCCTCAAAAGATCCTAAGACGTGACATGGAAATATGGAATAACCACAATGCTGAACAGGTGCACACAACATGAATCAAGCCTTATTTATTCCCAAGGTGATTTGGGCTACGTGGTTGGAACAGTATTATTGAGGCTCATTGAAAACCAAATTTTCAATAAATTCATCAAAAAAGAGAAATCAATAAATTTCTAAATAGTAATAAAATTCCATGATTAAATTCTCAACTTGTAGTTTGGTATACCTGTTAAATAATTTGTTTGTCTTCTTTAAGTATATGCAGGAGCATGAAGTTCACCGTGTCTGTCCCTTCTGCACCTTATGACTCTTGCTTCATTGTCTATAATTTCTAGAACCTGGAAAATATGAACTAAATTGTAACTTTCAAAAATTATTTTTAACTTTTTAAGTCAATCAAGATCTGAAAGAAACAGGAACTGACATGATAAATTGAATTTCGTTATTTACATGGTTTAAATAACATTGCCACTTTCCCCACCAAAAATCCAAGCCTTTTCTATGGGAAGTGATCACCGGGAAATCCAGAAGAATGGTTGAGAAGAATGTGATTATATCTTATAATATTTAGTATATAACTATAAGTATTTGACTTCTATCGACTCATACGTATAAATGTTTAACTGAGGGACATCAATATTAAGTAAGGAAATTATGCTCATGGATTTGTTTTACCTCTGGTCTCGAATTAAGAACTCCACTGGACATTCCAACATCTACGCGCCATATGCTACAATTGTATTTACTGTAGGAAGCAAAGAACTAATTTCAATTAATAGGACTATTCCATTCACAGTGCACTGAAATACCTAGATATTGTATTTGCCATTTAAGTTAAAATTCAATTAAGTAAGGTGAAAATTATCAAGATTTTGGACAACTTAAGGTTATTTTAACCATGTTTAAAGATACATCTTACCAATTTACACCTATAGTTTGAGGAGTATGCCCGACCACCATTGCCTTGGCACCAATTGCTTGTAGTGTCTCCTCAAGAACAGAACATACCTGAAAATCAAATTTAGTTTCAAAATTTCAATCCAAGCCAGCTTGAAACAGATTTCATTAATCTGCTAAGGATCTCACAAAACAAGTTAAAGAAAGTAACCAAGTAAATTGGACAAAAAAACATTTGATAAAGCAGCACAAAATACTATTACAATGTAATCTGTATAATTACCTGTTTAGCCTGATACTCCACAAAATCTGGATTGTCTCTTGAGTATAAACGATTCCAAACAACGCTATCATAACCCCTAGTGGCAATGAAAGGCATTTTGAGAGTATTGTCATTCTCATGCTGACTTCTCATCCACTCAGACACTTCTTTATTCATCCTTTCTATGCCATATGCAACTATAAAGGGAGAAGAAAATAATATCAGGCATTCGGAATTAAGGAATAACAGATATGAAACAGGCAACAATAGCATTATAGTAGATACTTGCCCAAGTAAAAAATTCATCTCAAGTTAAACAAAAGAAAAAAAATGTCACAAAATATTTACCATGGTGAGGAAGAAGTCCACCATGACAGAAGACCCAGTCATTGACCTTAAGTACAACAGAATGCCTTGCAAGCTCACGTGCAAGAAGCCCACCGGGTCTAAAGAGTATTGATCTGGCAATGACTCCCTTTTGCCTCTGTCCTAATGATTGGAAAATCTCATCAGAAAAACAATAATAAAATATCATATTTTGAATTAGTGAATAACATAAAGTTCATATATATATATATAAGAAAGGAAAAATTGCATTGACCTCTCCTAAAATCTTTTTAAAAGACACACACCTCTCCTTTAGTTTTTAAGTGAACACTAGTTTCCCTTATTGATTTATCTAAGTGACACATATAACTCCATATACAAGATAATACCATTTGCACACTATTAAGAGAGAACAAATTATTAATGCAAGTGTCAACAATTGAATGAGACTTGATCTCTTTGATAGAATAAAAGCTATAGTAGCATATATCTTCTATTCTATCACTCTTACTTAACTTTAACTTCGAAATTAAATTCTAATTATCATTTGTGCTATGATTTAAAAAATATATTAACTTCAAGGAACAATTTCAAAGAACGAGCTGAGAAATTATTTCAAAATTGAAGAGCAATGGAATTTTTCATAAAGAAGACAAAACATATATGTAATTCAGAAAAAAATGATAGACACGTATATAATTGACAAAATATAAATTAACTTTTATTTTTTCTCTTTTTCTCACTTTAACTAATAATGTTATTATAAGGGAGGTGAGTGATTTTTAAAAAATTAGAGAGGAGGTGTGTGTCATTTAAACAAATCTTAGGGGAGATGGGTGCAATTTTCCTTATGAAAAAACTTATCTTGTACTTCTCAGTTGACAAAATACTTCTTTATGAACCCAGATACAAGGACATAGTCATATGGCTCTCTAAGATGCTCCTTATTAGCTTTTTACCAAGAGTACTTATTGATTCCAGATTATATATATATATATATATATATATATATATATATCATAAAATGAGTTCAAAATATCTCATTATGTAAATTACTAATTTATTTTATTATAATTCAAATTCTTTCCCTTCAGTTCATCACACACAGACAAAGAAAAACTCCTAAATCTGTAAAATGTACATTTGATTGTTTAGCAAATCATAACTGTGAAGGGATGAAAAAATTCATGTGCTTTCACCGAACAGTTTAAGTTTTTGGGGGTAAATGGTTCATGACTTGGTATCAAAATATTGTAACCATGTGATCTAAAGTTGCCCTAATTTTAGGATAGCTGGTTCACAACAAGTACTTAGTTTGTTGGTTTGGGGTAAGGATACGATTTCTTTTCTTTCTTTCTTTCGGTTTTGTTCTTTTTTTTTTTTTTTTTTTGCTGGGTTTACAGAGGAATTTATGCTTAGTGACAGTAAAAAATAAAGACTAAAAGAAGTACATGAGAAAAGAAAAACAGAAATTTATAGTACCTTCAATAAATTCCAAGGTCCCCAATAACTTTTTGACATTGTTCGATCTTCTTTCCACCTTTCAGAGACATCAACCCAAGCAGTAAAAGTTTCTTCCCAGTCATCTTCAGAACCGTTGACATATTCTAAGAAATCATTACACTCATCAAATCCCCCAGAATCAACATATCTGAAATCCCCTTCCACATTCATGGTCTCATGATTTCCATTTACCTAGATGAAGCAGATTCAGTTATGGATAATTACTTAACAGAAACATAACAGCTGAAAAATAATGAACCAGTTTCCTCAGAATTCAGATTTTACAAATAATTTTTGCTTAATACTTGATTTTGATCATGACAGAAACTTTATAATAATGATAAGGGAAGCCATGCTATAATGCATGAGGAATTGTCATCTCCATGGTGATGTTGTCAGTAATATTCAGTTATTAGAGATAGTAACTTGAATGCTTTATAACTCTATATACCAATGACTAAAACTTTTGAAGTTCAAAGTCACAAATGACAAACCTGAAACACAGCTCCACCTTTTGCTTTCGCCTGTTTATCCAATGACCGCAGCAAGGACAAGATGGCAATTTCATCTTCACCTCGGTCTAGTATATCTCCAAGTTGAACCAACACCTAGTACATGGAGAAAAAATAAATTCATATGTTAAAATCTCTCATTTTTATGATAACCTTTTTTTCTTTTTTTACTTTTGCCAGAAGTGCAGATAGTAGATGACAATAAAGATTCCCTGATTTCATCTCTACAAGTTTGAGCATTTCATAAACTTAGTCCTTTCAAGTTTCAACAATTTTACTATATTAAATAGCATAAGATATTCTAATTAAAACCAAGAGCAATCCATTTTTAGAAACAGTAAGCATACAGTTTCTCCACCAGTCCATAAGTCTTGACCATCAGAGCTCAATACACCTGCCATTTCAAGTGCAGACCTAGCTTGCTTAAGATCTCCATGTAGATCTCCAACTATGCAAGAAAATTAGCTTCAATAAGACATCATGCAACTAAAATCAAAACAAGATCAGAAAATGATCAACAAGAACATCATCAAGATAGTGAATTAATCACAGGACACTATCCTGTCCACAGAAACTATTCATCACTTTGATTTTGCGAATGTATATTAAAGTTCCACAATCTAAGGCTGCAAATAATTATCCATACTACAAAAGTCAACAAAAACAATTAGTAGTAACAATTAAAGAAGTACATTTCAGCATTTGTGATTTATATAGCATCCATCAGGAAATACTGAAGACCAAGAGAGATACCCTTGAGATTTCATAATAAAAAAATCCAAAAACAAAGATGAACACAGATTTATGCATCAGCTTGAAAAAGGTCAACAACACTTGAGTTCAACTTTAACCCGGATAAACATTAAGCTGCATATAAGGTTTTCTTTTTCTTCTTTTAAAAATTATTCATAGTCCATTCGATCTACATCGTGAGAGACAAATATATTAGGATAAAAAACTACCAATGTCTAAACTCCTAATAATATTTTTCCATACACATGGAAACAAGATCAAACACAAAAACCATACAATTAAGGGACCATAGTCTCTTACATTCAGACCAACACAAGTAGATATACAATCCATATTTCACCATTAAAATTAATATAAGTTTTAATGACCTTTTAGTCCCTATACTTAGAAACTACTCATTTTAGTCACTACTTCCTAATCATACATTTTTTAATCCATTATAGTGCCTTTGGATGGCAGTTTTTACTCCATTTTACTGAAGGGAGGGAATAAAATGATTGCACAAGTATCAGGATCAAATGAGAAATTCCAAGCATTTAGCCAAAAACATCATCTTCAAACATTACCACTGAGTACTGAATATGGTAAAACCCAATTGCCACATAACATTCATTTGAAGCTTTCACGTTCCTTTCTTTTATTTTAAAGCAACAATAACAAAAGAACAACCCAAGGCTTTGTTTGCTAAGCATATTCAAAACCAAATAGATGCCACAAAAGCAAACTGGGAATAAGAAAACCAAACCAGCAAGAATTCTGCGACCAGGAGCCGAAACAAAAGTTGGGGGGTCTCCACTGACAACAATGGATTTCAGGGTGCTATGATTGTTGTTGTTATCAAGAATGAAAGAGGAAGAAGAAGAAAAAGAAGAAAGAGAAGTTTCTGTTGGCTTGCGAGGATGAGAAGATGGTGGTACTGGTAATGAGTTTAGACAAAGTGATGCCATGTGGGTTGGTTGGGAAGATCATTTGCTATGTTTCCATTAGCACAGCTTTGAATGAAACCAGAAAAGCACACAGTTTTATGAGACAGAACTCAGAGAAAGCTCCTCAGCCACGTATTTGGTATATGTGTTCGTTTCCTGAACATGAGAACTGAGAAGATAAGTTATGCTTAGCTTCCATACTTTTTATTTTCCCCTCGTATTTTGTTTAGATAATAGAAACAAATAAAGGATGGTTTTGCTAAATAATGACTTAATTATATTCCTTTTTTTTATTTAAGGAAACAACAATAAACACAACTGACAACTGACAAGTTAATAGCAACTTTTTTAATTATGATAATAGTAATACATTTAAAAAAATTAAATATCAGAATCAAATAACATCTCCTTATGTGTTAATAAAAAAATGAGTTGATTGATATGCATGGTCTAAAATTAAAACTAAAATTCTGAAGTACTGCATAGAAATTAATTTTTTTCAAAACGTAAAAATCACACGTGAAATTTTTTTTTTTAGTTTCTTTTAATATTTTTTATTCATTTTCATAATCATTAATTGAATTCACGACAATTAATATACATAATAATCAATTGCATTGAATTTTATTGGACTTTATTGGTCAATGTAATAGTGTTTTTTTATTTATTAAATTGTGCATTTTATAAAATTAAATTAAATTATAATATTGACCGAAAATTGTATTATGATATATTACAAATAATAAATCAAATTCATGTTTATAATTGTGAATTGGTCAATTTAGTCTTTAAAATTAAGTATATATCATTAATTACAAATTAAACGTTAAAATTATGTAACGTAAATATCTATAATTATTTGTAAATTTTAATTCAAAGATAAAATTTGAGTAAATCTGGTTTCATCTAAACCTCTTATATTTCATATTTACATTTTTAGCATTAAGATATCGAAACCAAGGATTTGCAATAACTTACTGTATATCTAACTGAGTTAAACCTCATTAATGTACTAAAAGATTTATGTTATAGCATAACAAAATTAATTGAAATTTTAATCATATTAGAATGTCATTTCTATATATCTTTGATTTATCTTTTAAAATACTATAGGTAGCTTAAATTATTCTATATGAATTTATTGTAATATCTAAACCAGTGTGGAATAAAAAAAAATTATAAAAATTTAAGTTGTATGGATAAATATTAATACATTGATCAGTTCTACGTTTTTCACGTGACACCCACGTGAAAGGTCAACCATAAAAAAAATATATTAAAAACACAAAAAATAGGTGTCACTGTAAATGTATAATTGGCCAGCATTTTCAGTTGTTAATCGCCCCACTTTGACAAATAATTTCAGAACAACTCTGATAAATAGTTCGTAAAATAGCCTCAATATAATCAATGAATTGTTAGTTTTCCAAATCAAGAATTATGTGTGTAGAAAGGAGAACAAGAGAAGAGAATCAACCGGTCAGTGAAAAAGCAAAATTCTTATTATCTAAATAAAATAGAGTATATTATAGTTATATATGTACATGTAAAATTGTTGAAATTAACTCTAAATAATTATGATTAGCTTAATCAACTGAACCGATTAAAAATAACTAATTAACAATATTGGTTAACATGAAGAAAAAAAAAAACTAACATAATTCTCTACTGGTAAGTTGTCAATATGAGTAGTAATGCATGAGTTCAATCCCCATTCTAAGTTTTGTGGGTTAAAAAATCGTGGTTGTGGGTAAATATTACTAAAATTACTTAACTAAATTCAATGAAGATTAGTCATTGATAAAATTGATAAATAATTGTTATAAAAAATTATTTAATTAATTATTTAAAAAAAATATATGCAAAATAGTTAAACTAAAAGGAAAAATATACAGGTAAGTGTGTTATTTTTTTAGAAGGTAAATTTCTGTTATTTATAAGTATTAATGTATAAACAAAATATAATATTATTGTTCTTACCAAAATAAACTTGGTGATATGCTTATTCTGTAAGATCTTCCTTTATACTTGTTTTTGAATGTTGAGTTAGGTCTCTTTTGATCTTCACCCTTAAAAGCAGTGGAGGTACTTGCAAAAGAAATTTTGACAATCAAGTTAGTCTAATTTGTCTTATATCTTTATTTGTTGTGTTATACATACCTTTACCCTCATTAATTATGTTTGTTATTGTTTTCATCAATTTTATAATTGTTGTAGTTGCAAGAAAACTAATTTGAGTTGAACAGTAATGTTTTCAAAATAGTATATGAATAGTGTGATTGAGTTCTCATACCGACACATATATGATTAGTCAAATTAGAGATTGACATATTAATTCGGTAATAGAAGTATACCTATGAGCTTACACCATTAGCGAGGTTAGTACATAAGCTCTTCGAGCTCCGAACTATGTAAGAGTAAAAGAGGTCTTCCTATCAATATGTAATAAATATTTTCACCACGTGTACAAGCCATACATCATTTTTAATAATTATTAATTGTGAAAATGTTTTAAATTTCAAAGAAAACTTTTTTTTCCTATTCATTTGTGATTGTTAGATTTCATAGATGTGTCTTTTCATCTATGCAACTCTTCGAGATAATAAAACCCTTTATCCATAGTTGCTTCGTTTAAAGATATTTTAATCTTGCAAATATGCGAAAAGTAATTTTTGTAGGTACTTGCTTCATATCTTTGTTTCACACTTTCCTTTGCATTTCGCGTCTTCTCTTCTCCATTTTTCTTTGTCGTTTCCTTTCCTCTCCCAATGTGTCTTTTCTTGAAAAGCATAGGTTCATCTCTTCAAGCTATATCTATAATTTCAGGTACAAAATCATTGCTCCTCTCAACTTATACCTTTCATTCTTATTTTAGTAATGCTGAGTATGGAAGAAAAGAGAAAGAGTCTGGTTCTTCTCCCTCTTGCACTCATTCCAATCCCCTTAGGTTACCTATTCTTAAGAAGTTAGATAAGGGTAGGGATAAAGTTAGGGAAGAAAATAATACATTGTTTGAAAAAGTAGTCATAGATGAAAATGAAAGAAAGAAACAAAAAAGGGAGAGAATAATAGAAAAAATTCACATCCATTAATTTTAGTATTTGGATATGAATGGGTAAGAGGTGACGTTGATAAATATAGAAGTAGATTTGGAATATAAGTTTACTCTGAGAAAGAGTGATGATTTGTTTATTGTCTTTTTTGAACAAAATTTCTATTAAACCTTATGGGCCTGAAGAATGTGTATTTTCTTTTTGGGAAATTTAACTTCTCCTTTCTTTACTTATATGTACCGATATCTCTTTAAAGACGTCGGAGTCTCTATTCCATTTTCTTCTTTTGAGTGAATTTTTGAAAAAGATTAATGTAACTCCTAGTCAATTACATCCAAATAGTTGGGACTTTTTGTGTGCTTTCCAAGTGTTATGCTTGACCTTAAATATTGAGTTAACCTCATCCAATTTCATGCACTTTTATTAATTGAAGCTTGAAAGACCACCATATGGTTGGATATCATTGAGTGGTAGTTCTAAAGGAGGGTTGTTTCAAATTTTTACTCAATCTTATAAAAAATTTAGAGAGGAATTTTTTAGGATCCGACCTGTATGCAGTGATCCTACATCGGATACTATCTTTCATTTAAATGAAGAACCTAGATCCCCCTTCTATTGGTAACTTTAACCTTTAAAATTCATTAGTTTTAAAGGTTTTACCCTGACTTTATTTGAGCAGAGAGATATAGATAAATTGTAATCATTACCTCAACCTTTGAAAAGTAAAGTTGCGTTTTCACTTTTTGAATAAAAATATTTACAAGATGATTTAGAGAGTGAGTATTTATAATAACAACATTTGTAGTTTAGTTATTGCTATTTTTCTTAATATTTGATAGTATTTTTCCTTGTTTGTAGAAATTATAGATTAAATGCTAAATTCAATAAAGAGGAACAAGACATTCTAAATGATTAAGAAGATCAAAGTAACGTCCGTCCTCGTAAAAAAAAAAAAAAGAAATGAAAGGTTACTAAAATTGAGATTGGAACTAATCTCAATGTCTCAAAAGAGTTCAACAACCAATGTTATTGAACAATAAATGGTGAGAAAATTTGAATTTAATCTATGAGTTTACAATTTGCTAACATCATACATTATTTTCCTTAACGTATTAATGTTTAATAAATTTCTAGGTCTTACCATCAACTAATATCATTTAATCACCAAGTTATGAAATTCCGCCACCAAAATGTTCTTACTAGAATAAACTTCGATGATATGTTTATTCTGCAAGATCTTTCTCTGTAGTTGTCTCTAAATGTTGAGTTAGGTCTCCTTCGATTTTTGTCCTCAAGAGCAACGAAAATACTTATAAAAAGAACTTTGATGATCAAGTTAGTCTCATTTGTCCAATATTTTTTAACTTTTGTATTATATATACCTTTACCTTTGTTAGTTGTGTTTGTTCGTTTTCACCAATTTTATAATTATTGCAATTACAAAAAAAACTAATGTGAGTTGAACATCAATATATTCAAACTATTATACAAATAGCATAATTGAGTTCTCATAGTATAATTTAATATGATTAGTCAAGTTAAAGATTGACATATCAATTTGATAGTAAAATATACTCGTAAATTTATACTGTTGATGAGGTTAGTACAATTAGCATTAACAAAATAAAAGTAGATAAAAAAATATAATTCATTGATCTAATATAAATTATATTGAATCCTATTAAATTGAATCAAATAAATTATATTATTACTCCATTTCCAAAATATTTCTCAAAGTAAAGTGGCATATCTAAATATTCGGCTACAGCAAGGTAGTTCTGCCAATGGCTTGAATTGACACCCTATGCTTTCATGTTGTAAAAGTGGGACTAAATGGCAAATTAAATTTACATTATTATCCAAATAAAATTATTTTCAAATATAAATTAACCTTATCGACCTCAAACAAGATGACTGTTCTCTACTCATATTGTGATTCAAACAATCATAGTTCCAAACAGAGCAAACATGAATACCAGGATTTTAAGATCATGATATTTAATAATGGGTCCAACACTTATTCTGGCTTGGCATTGGCACCCTGTAACATATGCGAAAGAAAAGCATTCATGTCAGTTTCTGATGACCCTCCTGGTGCAATCGCATGCTGACATAGCTGCTTCAGCTCTCTGCTTCTTTTCCTCATATCCCTCACTTCATCATCACTCTGATCCATAAACTTTTTAATAAGCCCAGCAATTTCATCTCTTGTTATCAAAATGTCTTGCTTAACCTCTTTTTTCACCCTCCACCCCACCTTCCACTCCTCTACAATAAACTTACCATTTAATGGTTGGTCCATAAATATGGGAAATGCAAGAAAAGGAACACCACAATAAACACCTTCTCTAGTAGAATTCCACCCACAATGTGACCAAAAACCCCCAATAGCACGATGCTGCAACACCCTCATTTGTTCACACCATCCCAAAACCACTCCCTTATCCCCACACATCTCTTTCAACCTGTCACTCTCTTTACCTTGCACCCACAAGAATCGAACACCACTTTCGCGTACACCAGCTGCAATTTCATCAATTTGTGCACTAGAAACCGAAAGAAAGCTTCCCTGAGAAATGTATAACACAGAGCCAGAGGGTTGGTTGTCAAGCCATTGAAAATAGCCATGTTTAGAAGCATCAATGTGACCATTACTAAAGTATGGTATGACAGGGCCAATAGTGTAAATGGGAATAGAGAACTCTGCTTTCAAAGCATCGATAGCTCGAGGCTCAAGCTCATATATGGAAGGAAACAACAGATATTGCGCTTTCTGCACCCATGGTACAACATTCAAAGCCAATTCCAACAATTTTCGGCTGCGCCAACTTTCATCAGGAAGTGGAAAATCTGCTAGACGAATTGACGAGTTCCCCGGAATATAATCCACACGTTTCTCACCGTCTTCTGTTGCAATCATTTAAACAACCACACAATACTTAAGAGATCACAATTAATATTATAAGAATTTATGTCGAGATCAGTAACATCGTAACTCATTTAATCACAAAGGCCAAGAACGGTAAGTTTCTCGTTTTAAATGTTCGTTGTTTAAAAGTGGTAGAATTATTTTTTTTGTCCATGGAGTATTCACCGCATAGTAGGTGACTAATCTCTTTACTACGTTTAAAGCACCTCAAAGGATGGGATAGCTGGCCCCATAATTTAACGTGACTGCATACACAAGGCAGGATTCAAACCCCTAACCTTACTTAAATAGTAGAATGCAAGCAGCCTAATGCTTAATTACTACTTGGGTTCTTTATTATAAACAAAGATAAACCTACAATTTCTTTTCTTCTTAAATATAAATAAATTTTAATTATTTTACTTCTAATAAATAGTATTTTTTTAATACATGATTTTTTAGTTATGTAATTTTTTATTTATAATAAAAAAGATTTTTTTTCTTATATTATCTCTGACATTAATTATAGAGAATATGTAATAAATTATTAAGATTAAAAAATAATTAATATAATACTTTGAATTAATTTTTATCATCAACTAAAGTTTAGAAAATAAAGCCAATATAACTGACCTGATACGCTTACAGGATAGTGGCCATTTTGTTGGAGAAGATGATAGTGTTTGAAGACGGCGAAAACGGAGGCTGACATTGGCCAAAACGACGCCACCGGAATGTCTGTCCGATTGGCAACGCGAACGACCCAGAAAAGGTAAGTGTCGTATATGACAACCGTTGGCGGCGGGTGGAGGCGGCGGAGTAAGTCTTGAAAGGGAGCTTCCATTTTGGTCATAACGGCTTCAAAGAAGCCCACGAAGTCGTTGGCTCGACCGTGTTCGGAGGGAATAACGTTGGGGATTGTGGCGAATCTAATGTTGCGGGGTTTGGGGTCGGAAGCGATGAAGCCCAGCCATTCTTCGGTGACCACGAAGGTTACGAGGATGTCGGAGTTCTTGGACACGAGAAGTTTGCAGAGGTTCATCATGGGGTTTACGTGGCCTCGTCCTGGGTATGGCACAGCGACCAGGTGGCCGGTCATGATGGGTGGAACCTGAATTGGGTCTTCCATGGAGATAAAGTGAGAGAATGATTTGAAAAGTGAAAATGGAACTGCTTTTAATTTGAATTGGAATTGTTAATTACTTCAAGGTGGACCCGTCGAAGAATTATTGTGTCTGTGAAGACGTTAGTAATCACTAATCACTGCTCGTGCTTCAATCCGGAATATCTCAGGATGGAAAACAGTTCACGTTTCTAAATTCTAAAGTGGGGTATTTTTTTTTTTATACTGTTCTAAATTAGGATATAATCTTATTGTAAAATAATTTATACAATATTAATGTTTGTATATTCTTTATACAATCAGAGCTCTAGGTTACGCTAGGGCCTGATATGAAGAAACGCAATGTCTTCGTACAAATTTGATATTGATAAATTTAATGGATCGAATGATTTCATTTTGTGAAAATTGATGAAAGTGGTTCTTGTGCATCAAGGTTGCACTGCAGCACTAGAGGGTGCAGATAAATTATCCACGACTATGACCGATGATGTAAAGAATGCGATGTTGGAAAAAGTCCATAATTTGATTCTCTTGAGTTTGACTGATGAGGTTCTGCGAGAGGTAGGTGAAGAGACAACGGCTGCAAGGATGTGGAAGATGTTGGAAGATAAATTCCAGAAGAAATCCCTAACCAATCGATTGTATCAGAAGCAACGTCTTTATACCTTGCTGATGTATGAGAATATGTCTGTGAGAGATCATCTTGATAATTTTAACCAAATTATCTTGATAATTTGTATATTGTCCTCTCACAAATGATGAGTTTATGATTAATAAAGTTTCATTTATTTATTACAATGCACCCCCAATCACACCATAGTACTATTGTATGGCCATGTGATCCATCTCCTCCTCCTTTGTCCTCCCACCGGTAGCGGGTTTTTCCGCTCCTCCAACATCGTTCTCTCAACCTCACTCCTCTTCCCTCTTCAACAAGTTCTCCATCCATCATTGTTGCCTCGTGAGTTACAAGTTACAACCTCCTCTTTCCGAGTACATCGCCTTCCAATTTCGTTATGCAGCTTAGTGCTTCGAGTTTATGTCATTTGACGCCAACAACATTGAGGCTCGACATTCGATTATGACCATTTGCATGCTCTAGCTTCATCAATGAGTAACTGTACCTCCTAGGTTCAAAGCGGATCTACTATTTAGGCTCATCATTGACCTACCTCCATGGCCAAGATCAATCATGTTAATAACTATTAATCTATAATAAATTTATATCTTTTTGAATTTATGAACATGACTCATGAGATTACAAGATGACTATATGTCGTTTGGTGTCGATCATGATTGGTGAAAAATTGATCCATCATGTTTATATTATCTGATGTCGACTGATCATTATATATTATTTAGGTCTGATCGATCTCGTCATACCCATAAATGATGACTCACTTAAGACATTAGATAGGGAGCATAAGTCATTATTGGATAAGATAAGTATACTCGAGATATGAGGGACCAAGATATCATAGGCATAACAGAAAAATGATAAGATTATGATGAGAAAAAAAGTCAAAAGATTAGGGTTACAAAGCCCTAGTACTAGGTTAAAAGGAGAGAGACGCCTCCAAGGAAAAAGAGATTCGTTTATATTGATAAAACCTATCTTAGGAGGATAAAGAGAAGAGAACTATTAAGTGCTTTGTTGATGATGCTATCTTTGTGGTTGGAACAATAACCACAACAAAAAAGAGACATTGAAACAAGGTGAAGATGAGATAGACACCAAATGTACAATGATGCTATAAATTCACATAAAAGTTATATTGTATTTCCTAAAACAATAAATTTATATTACTTAACTTTTTTTTAATTTTGTAAAACTCATAATTTTGATGTCCAACCATCAAATATTTATCTATTGATGGTTAAAATAATGATATTGATTTTGAAAGTGATAATTAATATTTAATAATATAGATTAAATTATACCTTTAATCTTTATTTTTATGCTTATAAAAGTGGTAAAAAAAAGTATAAAAATGGAGGGTAAAAATGATAGTAAAAAATATAATTTAACTTAAATATTACTCTTTTCAACCTTGAATATAGAAGAAAAAAATTCACTCTCAATTATAAGCAAATTTTATTCATGAGTACACACGTCAATTTGTAAGAAGTTGTTCCATCTTAACTAATGACATCAAATTTTTAATCTTAAATATGCAGTTGCGTTAAATATTAAGAGAAAAGTTTTTACATCCCATAATTATTATATCCAACTTAGATAAGATTGTCTCTAATTAGAAAATTAAATTGTTGTCTATAAAAAAATGTAAGCAAATTAAAATTAATTTGATCTTATTTAATATTGTCATCTTCAAAAACACCTTTCATTTAATTGAGTTTTTAACTTCAATAACTCATTTTTCTTAATTTCAAATTTTAATGGATATTTCAAGAAAAAAATATTTCTTTTAATGAAATTAGAACAATTGATTAATGATAACTAACTTTCTTAATCAACATATATTATATTATTGTTTTGCTTACATATGAAACTGAACAAGTATTAAATATCAATTATTTAGTCATGTATTTAAAATCATATCATAATCAAATGTTACAATTTTTTTTAAAAAATTAATGAATGAATATTTGATTGTTGAATTAAAATGACATATTATATTTCCAAGGGGGCGAGGATTGTTTCATTTGGAAGGGTGACCAATCTGGCCAATATTCAACATACTCTGGCTTCAAATGGTTACAACATAACTCACAAGTAAATCATGATGGTGTTTGGAGGAAAATCTGGAAAGTCCTAGTTTCAGAGAAGATCTGCTTTTTCCTTTGACAGGCCACACGCTCTGCTTTACCCACTAATGAGAAACAGTTTCATTGTCACCTATTGCAAGAGAGTGCATGTACTAGGTGCTCACATACTCATGAAATTTTCTTGTGTTTCCCCATGGCTGAGATTTATTATCAACCACAAAGAGGCACCTAGACTCGCTGTTATTCTTTGGTTGATTTGGCGTTTTCACAATAATATGATATTTGGAGCTAAAAGATTGACTCCTAGTTATGTATGTCGCATGCTTGTTGTCTCATGTGCGCTTCGCAGTTACGTTTGAGGAATTTTTTACTAAAATAAAATTTTTAAAAAAAAAATTTACCAAAAAAGCATCTGTACCACTTTATTTACCCAAATAGAACCTTTTACTGTTCATGTTCAAAATTCGGTTCCTGGAAAATGATGTAAAACTGGAACCGGAACGGCCCGTTCTGAATGGAGAACGCAGAACGGGCCGTGCTGCAAGGAGCCGTTCTGCAAGGAGAACGACCCGTTCTCCATTCAGAACGGGCCGTTCCAGATACAAAAACACACACATGACAAATCATCAAAACGGGCCGTTCTGCTTGGACGTTCCAGTTTCAAAAATAACAGATTATTCGTGCAAGCAGAACGGCCCGTTCTGCTTGGAGAACGTGCCGTTCCGGTTGCAATATTTACCCACAACCCGAATTACACAGAAAAGAAAAAAAGAATTTAAACACTTCTCAGAATTCGGTTACCTGGGAACCGAATTCTGAGCTAAAAAAAGAAATTTGAAGTTCAGAATTTGGTTCCCGGGAACCAAATTCTGAACATGAACAGTAAAAGGTTTTATTTAGGTAAATAAAGTTGTACAGATGCTTTTTTGGTAAAAAATTTTTAAAAAAATATTATTTTAGTAAAAAATTCTACGTTTGAGAGATGCTCCATCAAATACAGTAATAGAAAGAAAATGACTAACAAAATGTGATACGTGGAACGAAGGATACATGGTGAAGTATCAGTCTTTGATGAAGTTTTTGATAGGAAGAGTAAATTTTAGAGCACTGGAACCACAGATGTGCTAGAGAGACGAAGAAAAATGAAAATGAAACAAATAGAGTGATGAAAAAGATAAAACATATTTAAATAAGTTAAAAATTATTATTTAAAAAATTATAAATTAATTAAGATTAAATAATAAATATTAAAGTATTCTTAAAAAAAAGTTTTTTTTATAAAATTAACACATCATTATTTATATGATTTTAGTCACAGAAAATTTTGGTACCCGTGAACAAAACTTGCACCAAAAAAAATGCTTTATTGGAGATTAACTCTACGGTTCAATAAATGAAGGGTGACGTTAGTTACCTGAGAAATTGAGAGGGTAATGAGCATGTTGCTCCAAAAGGTGATGGTGGTGGAGCACAGAGAAAATAGACGCCGACATGGTCCAAAACGACGCCACCGGAACGTTCCTTCGGTTTCCAACGGCCACCGCCCAGTACAAAAAAGTGTCAGCTAAGATCAGCGTAGGCGGCGGCTGAAGGCGATGGAGTAGGTGGTCGAAGGGCGCTTCCATTTTGGACATGACAGCTTCCATGAAGGCGAGGTGGTCGTTTGCGCGAGTGAGCTCCGACGGGACCACGTTGGGGATGGAGCGGAGGCGGATGTTGTCGGGTCTGGGGTCGGAGGCGATG